CAGAAAGTGTAATCGTGCTCCAGTTCTAAAGCTGCGCCGCAGCACAAGAAGCGCAGCACGAATTGCCATAGAAAAGTGTGCAATTGGCGTCACAATGAGAGCTCAAGTCCTCACGGATGTTTGGATATCCGCGCTAATTTTCAAATGATGGTCTTGCGAGGAATGCTTTCGACTTGCTACTCGAAATGGACATGCATAGATAAGTGTATATCATAAAAAGTTTGCTGAAAAAGCTATCTGGGATCTCTCTTCCAAGTCTGCTACAGTTTACAACATTTGGTGGAACAAAGAGGCGGACAACGGCAAGATTCAAACCTGTACTATAGCTACTCCTCTGCAAAGTGCTTTCAAGGAAACGGGGCTCATAACATCGAAAAAACCGTTTAACATATATGGAAGAAATTTGAGATGGCTTTTCCCAAAAGACGTTTTGGTATACATCTCGTTATAAATGGCCAGTTCAAGTAGAAGCATTTCCTTGTCAAGGAATAGATACATTGAGTGTTGGACGAAACATGTCAAGCATGCAACATTCGGTTACTGGCAACAACTTACTTGACAACAGAGTCATCAGAAACAGATAATCGCTGAAGCTGATCAGTCCATTCTCGCCCAACTTGTAAAAGATGCTTTTCGTGTCGGAAAACTTGTACTTGTGCTTCTGAATTTTTCCACTTAGGCAATTCGCTTACTTTTTGGATAAAACTGATAATCAGATTGGATGTCATGAAAGAAAGACTCCAAATGTGTTGTTGCAATTTATGTTTATCTAGATTTATGGTGCGGAAAATTTACATGTTTTGATGTACAGCATTTCGAAGGGTAACTAGACTAATCCAGGATTATTGTCATTCTTTATGAATTTTGCCTTCATCCACTAGAAATCAACTATCTAAAAGATATTGCTCGACCAGCAGTGAACTGAGCTTTCAACCTACTTCTGGTTGGTATATTTTATAACTGTCCAATCCGTATTTCCTTGGCTGCATCACTCCCGGTGTGAATGATCTCAAGAAATCTTCTGGTGTCATAAATACCTCAAAAGTCCGTCCCGACTCATCACTCTTATCAATGACCTAAAAACCAGATTCTACAGAGATCGAACAAACAGCTAAAGTGATCACTTAACTTGAGCGTAGCAAAATATCTGAAGATCTTGTCTGG